TCATAGCTGCCAACTCTTCCGGTTTTCCCGGAAGATTTTATTTTCATATTTAAAGTGCTAGCGAAATTCATGTTATTTCACTAAACTATTTGAATTATAATAATAATTTTAAATCAGTTTGACCACCAGTACATATAAATAATTACAACAAATATATAAAAGCATATTAATCTTTACGATAGCGAATTTAACCCAACTAAAATATAAATATATTTTTGAGGTAGATAGTTTTTCGGTAATTGTTTTACTACCACTTGGAAAATCTATTCTCGAAAAGAGTGAATGTTGGCAGGTATGCAATAGCCTATTGAAATATTAACTATTTTAAATATTAAAATTATGAAATTTAATTGCAAATAAACGTATTGCAAATAAACTTTTAAAAAAAGAAAATATTGTTGGTTATTTTACATATTAATACATTGTATCTTAAATTTTACATTATATGTTAAAATAACCAATTTTGAAATACCTTCTACTAGATCTTAGTACACGTTTTAATGCTTAAAAACGAAGAAGAAAAAGAACTTCTGAAATTTAAAATTTCGAACAGGCAAGGACGATAAAATCAATATTTTCTAAGTAGAGATGCATCAAAGTTAACCATTTTGACAAGGCTATTTATCAAACACCTGACTTAGGCTTTTATTAAAAACAAATTAGTGATTTCGTTTAAACAAAATTAAACTTATATTTCATGAAATTGCCTTTAAAAAGCTGTTCAAAATTTAATAATTAAAATTATTTACCCAATGAAATGGAAGAATCCCCAAGTATTGTTTATAAAAACATTTTCTTTTTCAATAAGCATGGAAGGAAGGTGAACCAATTTAAATAGAATAAATGGTTACTTACGTCAAGTCTAAAATTGTTCCTCTTTATAGGCTTATTATTAGATAGCTGCCCAAAACCTTTCTTTTGAAATAGTAACAACAATCAAATCGTAAATTATACAAATCAATTACAAATCAAATATTAATAGTAAAAATTAAGTAAAATAAAAAGTAAACAATGCGAAAAACATGCGTTGTTTTTCGGCGGGATTGTCTGTTACATACCGAAATCATTTTAATAAAATTTGATTAAATTTCGGAAATTCAGAAAAATATTCATATATATATATATACGAGGGCTGTCCATAAAATAAGGTTCCCAAGGAGCTGCGGATGCTAGGAACGCTGTTAAGCGGGATTTGTTGAGACTGTCGTGTAACTTAGCTCCCTTTGCCCCAGTTCCCTCCCCGGCGAGGTATCTACAACGTTAATTCTTGTCTTGGTAGCCGTGAAAGATAAAGCTTCCATTTGTTTCTCACGCCAGGTGCGAATTACGCTCTGTGATTTGTTTTTGAGTGCAAAAAACGTTCCTCCGGTGGACATTCATTCCCAACTCTGTGAGGCGTACGGGGAAGAGTGTATGAGTGTGCAAACTGTGCGCAAATGGTGCAGAGAATTCAAAGACGGACTTACAGACGTTCATGACGAACAACATTCTGGTCGGCCATCGTTTTCGGACAAAGCGATTGCGAAAGTGGAAGAAGCAATGCTGAAAGATCGAAGGGTGAAGGTTCGGGACCTCAGTGAGATGATCCCTGTTGCCAGTAAGTCCTGCATTCACAACATTCTGAGAGACCGCTTAGGATATGCCAAGATTTGGGAAAGGTGGGTCCCGAAAATGCGGACGGATGACTATGACAACAAACGGCAACATGTGGAAGCCGCCTGCGAATTTCTTCATGCCTACGAAACCGATGGCAAGGAATTTTTGGACTCTGTTGTCACTGGGGACGAGACCTGGGTCCACTACATGACACCGGAAACAAAAGAACAATCCCGTTAGTGGAAGCATCCATGCTCGCCAAAGCCGAAGAAGTTTAAGCAAATTTTGTCTGTTTTAAGCTATCTTCGCGGAGCGGCGGCAGAGTTCTACGACTCAGGCATAAAGAAGATGGTACACTGCATGTAAAAATGCATTGATCTAAACGGCGATTATGCCGAAAAAAAGAGGGAAGTCTAAGCCTTCCAAACATGTATTATTCAATGCCAATAAACATGTTTTTCATTGTGAAAATTCGTTGGGAACCTTATTTTATGGACAACCCTCGTATATNTTATACGTTATTAAAGATAAACTTGTATACCAAAAAAAATGTGAAAAGAAGGGGGGGGGGGAAATAATAAGTAAAAAAATAACAAATAACAGTTTAAAAAAAAAAGAAATTTTATTTAAAACCGGAAAAAAAGATATAATCTTTTCATCAGTCCACACGATTATATCCGCAAAAAAGAGTGCTTTCTGATATTGTATCAATATAGCCAAAGCAAAATATATTAATACAATAGTGTGAGGCGCACTCAAAAAATTTTTTTACAAAAATTACAACAAATAAAATAGAACACAATAAGTAAAAATAACATGTAAAAACAGAAAATAAAATAAAATAAAAAGAAAAAAACAGTATAAAACATAGACTATAAAGCGAGTAGCGAAATCAGATGTACTTACATGGACGGGAAATTTTTCAAGAGTGATTTAAAAATGTTTTCGCAACAAGATTGCCAGATTACAAAATATGAAAACAAAAGCGCAAATTGACTGCAACTAGAGGATTTTAAAGTGCCGTTCTTACTGCACTGCTGAAGTGATTTGTTATTCTGTGCATTGATTTGTTAGTTACCAAGGATGGGCCCGAAATGGATACACACAATAAATATATGCACACACTATCTACCAGTAAGTATTTGGACACCTATACAAATGACTATATCTGCGGTCCTGAGATACGTCACGCCCTTCGCCGGTATATATCGCGTAGGGAACAACGAGATGCCACGCAATTCGGAGCTCTCTGATTTCGAAAAGGGTATAAGTGTCGGGTATCACAAAAATGGCCGATCTTTAAGGGACATATCTAGCGAGCTGAATTACCCAAAATCGACAGTGGCTTATGTGATTAAGAAAGGGAAAGTGAGAGTCGGAATGTGCCCGAGTCGGAAGACCAACGAAACTGGGAGATCGAGACCGGCAGGTGTTGTCCAGAGAAATTCGGAAGAACCGCACCCATACAATGGCCCACATACTCCAGGATTTTCAACAGGCATCCGGGAGTGTTGTTTCAATTAATACCATCCGTAAGGAAGTACATCTGCTTAGTTTTCATGGTCTTGCTGCTGCCCATAAGCCTTTGATCACAAAGTCCAACCGCACAATCAAAGTTCACCCTCTACCATTTGGATGGCAGGGTCTGGGTCTGGCGTATGACCGGAGAACTTCTCCTGCCAGAATGCATTGTGCCAACAGTCAAGTTCGGCGGAGGTGGAATTATGATCTGGGGGTGTTTCTCCTGTTATGGATTGGGTCCCCATTCATGGTAAGCTCAACGCCCTATTTTGGATGACAATGTGCTTCCTACGTTGAGGCAGTTTTACGTGGTGGACCCCTGTTACTTCTAGGACGACAATGCCTGCTGTCATGTTGCGAGGCTCACCAAGGCTTGGTATGGTGCCAATGGGGTAAATCAAATGGACTGGCCTGCCCAGAGCCCAGACCTGAACCCTATCAAAAATCTCTGGGACGAGTTGGACAGTCGAATTAAGGGGTGTACTACCCGTTCAAAACCGGTGAAGGAACTTAGATGTCTTCTCCAAGCTGAGTGGCAGAAAATACCACTAACCGTCGTACAGGCGGACTTGTGGAAAGCATGTCCCGGTGGGTTCACGCTGTAATTGCCACTCGTGAAGGCTCTACCTACTATTAATTATGAATAAAGTTTTTTTTTCTTTTCAATTACACGTGTCCAAATACTTATTGATAGATAGTGTGTAATCTAAATAAGAATTTTGATTAGCTCAAACTTTAATCATTATCATTATTAAGTCATTAAGGATTTTATTTATTAATAATTAAACATACTCCTAAATTCATTTAGTAGAAATATCTTTCTTAAATTTACTATGAAATTTTCATTGCTTTTAATTTATTTAACGTAAAATTTTGAAATCAATAGGTGCCAAAACACAACTATTACGTAAATTACAGATTACTTTTTCCAGTTGCAGTGAGAATATTAATTTAAAATATAGTATAAGCAAATATTTTTATAAAAATGTACAGTACATCAAAACATAAACATGTACAAAAACTGCAAACATGCAAAACACATTTTTTTACATCAAAAATCACATTTTTTACATCATCAAATCATTACATTGAAATTTTTTAAACACTTTTCTTAGATCAAATATTTTTTTACATAAAAATATCAAATTGTTGAAGTATTGACTTTGCTACAACTGTAAACATAAATCGTAGCAGTATGTTTTAAAATCATGGTAATTGATAAGATCGATAAGTGGATAGAGATTTTATCGCGTAGAAATTCTCTACCTAAGCAGGAATTTCTTATACATAACATCTTTTTTTTTTTTTTTTTTTTTTTTTTTTTTTTTTTTTTTTTTTTTTTTTTTTTTTNTTTTGCTATGAAAAAATTCGAACTTAGAAATGCTTGTTGACTAGAAAAATGACAGAAACCCTACTCATAATATGGAAGCTCAAAATAATAAATTTATAAACAATGTTTCGAAAAAAAAATATGTATTGCGAATATTTAGTAAGGCTTTGTGATGCCCTCCTACTCTCTGGTGCCCTACGCACGTACTTAGTTTGCTTAATGGTTGATCCGGCAGTGGTTGTAATCATATATATCACAATTACTTGAGTTTAAGATTACCTGCAACTGTTAGATTATGAAAACTTTTTTTTTCCCAATGGCAGGCACTGAATTTGAATCTTTGCCTATACTATGCAAGAATTGTTGCTCATTTCGCGTTACCCAGTGGGCACCTGTGAACCAAAGTCACGGAGGCGAGCAACATACTGCCCACGCCACACTGCCATAAACCCGTTTATAGGGTGGGCTACATTCACACACACAACAGAGAACAGCACAAAGAGAGAGAGAAACATCCATGCCCAGAGCGGGATTCGAACCCGCAGCCTATGGCTTCGCAGTCAGGCACGCTAACCGCTCGGCCACCTGGCCGGCATGAAAACTTGTACTTATGATTTCTTGTAATCTTACTTTATGATTACAAGAAGTTACGATGACTTGCAATCCCAGGAATTGATTATTTATAATTCTGATTATCTGTAATCACTTTTTATTGTCATTATAAATAGTCATAACCGCTTGTAATGAGAAATAATTATTTGTTACTGTGATTACTTTTAATCATGATCATTTCAAGTAGTTCACTACTAAGAAATCATTATTTATAATTAATTACATTTGTAATCTATTTTTGTAATCGAACTTGCAATGAAAATGACATTTTTCGCTGGTTATTCATTATTTTATTCAGAAAAATTAGACGACTAATGAATTTATTCATCAATCAATATACAAAAATTTGCATAATGAATGATAAATAATGACTAAATTTGCGAATGAATTCAGAATGAATTTATTCTGACTAAATTTAGTCATGAATAAAATTTTCGTAAATGATGCACATCACTGATATATAGCTTCCTAGCCCCCCAACTTATGATCCAATTTTTTACTCCACTAATCTACTCCACTAATTTGATGGTCAAGAATGCAAATATGTAAAAAAAATATATGCTTATTTAGAAAAAATACATTTTTGTGTCTGATTTCGTACCTTAATTAATAGTTAGCACTTATTAATTAGCATATTTGAAGTTAGCCCCTGGAATAATTAAGATTGAAACTTAGTATGAAAAACGTCGATCATTAGAACAAAAGTCATTAGAGAAAAGTTATTTAGGGTAATATCTTTTTATTTCTCGCACACATAATATATATATATATATATATATATATATATGTTCACCCTCT